AAGCTACAATAGTGGCTGCGGTTGCATTATGCATCCACTAGATGGAGTTACGCTAGAGGGAATACTATACGATACAATACAGATTCATTTATATTGAGCTTTCACAACCGCTGCAGCTGTAACAAAGCTCTTGAAAGAACATTTAAAATACTACGTCCAAGAAATCCGAATATTGATCCATGTATTAGGCGCATCGGATTATAAGGCGCACTGTCGGCTTTGGAGAAAATGGAATGCTTTTCGCTGCGCCTTATAGTTCGGAAAATAAGTTCATTCCCCGATTGGTGATTAGCTCAACCCACAAACCAGCCCTTCAAACTCACGACGCCATTCTTTTGTTGATTGTATGTTTCTGCAGGGAGAATGCCGTAATTTCGTCAAGGTTCTTCTCCAGCAGCACGGAGGCCTGTTTGTGTGCGGAACAAACGCCTTCAACCCGCTGTGTGCAAACTATACCGTGAGTCGCCGTCATCTCTGTCAGCTGCGCTTTGCACGTTTTTTATCTGCTCGTTCTGAAGACATGTCCCTCTCTCCCCTTGTTCAAGAGAGATACTCTAGAAATGGTGGGAGAGCCTGTGAGCGGGATGGCACGCTGCCCGTATGATCCGCGGCATGCCAACGTGGCTTTATTTGCAGGTATGATTTGGAATATTGAGCGCACCGGCTGCAAACACAATGTTTGCCTGTTCAGATGATTTATGGTCACGCCTCTTGCGGAATTGCTCGTTTGGTTTTAATCTTGCCGACCTTGTCCTATCTCTCCATCACCTTCCTCCTTCCTCGTCTTCTTAATCTTTCTCCGCTCGTGCTCCAAGATGGAAGTCTTTTCACTGGTACCGTGACAGACTTCCTGGCCATCGATGCGGTGATCTATCGCAGTCTCGGCGACAGCCCCGCCCTGCGCACGGTCAAACACGATTCCAAATGGTTCCGAGGTACCTTCACGGAACAGAAACATAAGAATTGTCACCTCAATGTGTCACATAAACTATATTTTCCAAAGTGTCTCATTCCGTTGTTCTTGCTTACATGTAGAATATGTTAGATTGGGAAAAAAAAAATCTCACAGCACACAACCAAACAAAAATTTCGCAAAAGAATTCCGCAGGGGACAGGGACTGAGCTCCACTGCAAGTCTGTGAGGAAAAAGGTTTAGAATTTCCTAATGGTGGCACAAGATAGCGTCAAAGCATTCTTATTAAAGAGAGCTATGGCCTGAAAACAAGAAGCGCCTCCCCTCACTTCAACATAGTTCCTTGGCATCAAGATGCCACAAGATGGCACCACAGCAGTACTTTTATATTAGACAGTGCTCTGGCCAGAGCACAAAAGCAGTGAATGAGTTCCCCCAAAAATCTGTGACTAGGTGAATTCACAAATATATGGGAGAGCGTTGTATACTGAAATAATCTCATTGACAAATAGTGTCAAATATGGGCTTGTTTGGTTCTGTTTCAGGAATGACACAAGTTACAGTGTTTGCGCCTTCTGCCATGCAGCGGAAGAGCATTTAATTGCTCTGACAGTCACTATACGTTGCTGGCATAGATGAGCAAAATTACGCGGATCATTTTCAGACGAATTAAGTATAAGTGGATAATTTCCCGCACGCACACCTGACGACACAATCAATGGAACAGACGTAATATGTTATTGTCATTGGATCATTCGTCATGAAATTGGAGACAGATGGACAAAAAGGAGAATAAAAAGAATGCGATGGCCTCACGTTGCCTTTTTCTGCTAACATTCCCATCTAGAGCCCTACTTTGTGAGCGCCATGGAATGGGGGTCTCACATTTATTTCTTCTTCAGAGAAATGGCCATGGAGTTTCATCATCTAGAAAAGGTTGTTTCTCTTTTCATGTACACGATTTTCCCGGGCGCATTATTAAAGCATCTCTCTATTTAGTATCGTACATCCCAATTGGACCGTGCTCTGCCATGTTA